CGCATTGGCCATTTTTAAACGAAGGTTAAAAAATATGTGCTTCTGGAAGCTCGGTAATTTAGAGCTTTTTTTTTTATTATTCTGTTTATTTACAATCTGTTTTCTGTAACAAACATTCAGTAAATGCTGGTTAATTATGCATTAAATTGAGCTTAGAGTACATCGTCATGTGGTTGTTTGAAGCGGAATGGTAATTCCAGAATATCGGTATCTTTTCAGTCGTGTTGTACTTCTCGCTATTATCCAATAGATTGATGCTGATGGATTTGGAATGTTGTTTAACGCTCTGGGTGAGGTGGTGCTAGCGAGTGATTTCTTCGTATATTATGGGTATCTTGAGGTCTCGACGTAGTGTTTCATTCGTTACCGTACCACGTGTGCTTGCATTGGCTAGTTTCTAAGTGCAATTTTTGATTCGAATCTTCTGAGTATTTCAATGTTTGACTTCTGCTAGCGGGATCCCCAGAGTTGAATTCCGTATAGCTTCCAGTATAGGCCTGATTAATTGATTTGTAGCAGGCAGTACTTTGTTGTTCTAAAGAAAGGTTTGAGTGGCGGTTGATGAGCCAGTGATTATTGGGGAGGAATCTGATTTGTGCTTCTTTCTTCTTCTGAGTTATATAGTTCCTCCATGTAAAGCCGTTTGTTTGTCCATTGATGAAATCCTAGATATTTAATGCAAATAGTATAGATTGTGCTATGTATACATGTTTAGCTGTACTTTAGGGACACTCCTTTTGATAGGGCTAAATATTATATTTTAGATTTGAGGCATTTACTTGAATACGCCATCTTTGTACCCATTGTTCAAGGTTGGTTTAAGTTGCTCGTGGGAGATTTTGTGATGCTTTGGAATGGGTCTTCATGCACACGCCCAAAATTTGCTGTGTCGTCCGCAAAACGTCTGCAGTGGTAGTCCTTTCATTTCGTTGGCCAAATCTATGTTTATAAAGTATAACAAGGCCAGCACCTGCCTTGAGGACTCCTGATTTTTAATGGGGGTGTGATGCTTGGGGGTGGCGCGGGGTGGCAAGAAAAATGATAATTACTTCTTGATAATTTTAATTGAAGAGTGAGCGAGATAATGTAGCGCCTCGGTTAGTAGATGATATGACTTTATCAGGTAGTCGGCTAAAACGGGCAGATGGATGCAGGCCCGACGTCGCGAGTAGATTTAATTTGCTTTATACGGTTCAAACAGCAGCAACTGAGCGACGATTCACAACCGTTGACCTTATCAGCAAAGTTCCCATTACCGACATATTCGTATTTCGAGAAAGCTGTTATGGTTTAAATCATTCGCATAAGTGGTATCATAGAGATAAGAAATACTCAGCAATGACTCTGCAGTTCAAGCATTTTTCTACTTACTCTCTCGAGACGTGCATGTATTCAGGACCCAATTAAGTGACAATCTACTGATATAAAAACTTCGTAAGCAATCTCTGAGGTAGGAAAGGGAAGTGCCGCTTAGTTAGCTCGATATTTTGCCTATCATGTTAGAAAGCGAACAGGTTCGTTCTTGTCAACATTTGATGGCAGTTATTGCAAGGGAATATAGTCGCCATGATGCCACATCAAAACGGGAGTGTTGTGTCTCTACTAAGTCCGGAAACTGGTGTTTCACTCCGATGAGTGATTATTTGCTTGCACATAGAAAGTTAGACGGTGATATATTTATTAATTACAATAACTAGTGTGGGAAAGTTAAGATTTTTGATAAACCAGTTAAATCAAGATACCATACTGTAGTATTAAGTATATTGGTTCGAAGCTACTTAGCTCTTTTGCTTGAAGTGCGCGGTTGAACTGAAAAACTTTCATATAACGTGAGGACTGAATTTAGAGTTGAGGATATCTGGGTTAAGTCGTTAAATACTAAGTTGTACCAATCAGGATACATTTTGTAAATGCTGTTTTTTATTATTAGAATATACAGAAAAATTAGGGGTATAAAATTGAGATCGCGAAATTTCGGGTGTAAAGTGGTCAACTTGCAGGACAAAGATATCCTGAATAAGCAATGTCAAATAGGATTTTGAAATAATGATTTTTTATATAGTCGTAAAATGTATGTATGTAGTACTCTTTAGATTGAGAATTACAACAGATGTGATAAACAGAACAAAATACCCACGTCCATATAAAATATAAAGTGAAATAGATTAAATAGAGCAGAAAAAGAAGTTACCTGGAGTTAAAAATGCTCATATGACAATGTATAACGCGAAAGAGTATGTAAAATTGAGAGATGACCTATCGATTACCGCACGTCGTACGTCTGAAAGACTTTCATTTTTCTCTCTAGAACCGTTCGAGCTCATCACGCCACCGACCAAATGAGCATTTTCAGCTGTCTATTGTTCTGAACCTCGCTGCGCTTTCTAAATCGCTACAGCAGTATGCCCGTGCGCAGGTACTTTTGCCCGCCAGCTGTAAAAATTGAACGTCCCACTTCGCTCCATTTGCTTGGTGATGAATTTGGCCTGAACGTATTTCACTTGGCCCGCTCAAAAAAAAATATTTGATGGAAAAGAGGTGCATTTGCCACGTGAAAGTGAGTGAATGTTGATTCCAGGATCGTCAACTACTAATATTATTATTTCCGTGTACTGCCCACTTGTATCCAGGAATGTGGCGGTGTTCCTTTTCGTCGGCACGCGAGATCCGGCGTCACCCTACACGCAAGTGTCCCCCCGAGGTGTCTCCCCCAGTGGGGCAGTGTTCAGCCGGGACCAGCTCGAGGCTCCCGAACGGTCTGCCGAGATGAGCGTTTAGGCAGTCGGTTGGCACAAACAGAGGGTCGGGAAGATCGCGCGCGGCCCCGAACATGCTTGTTAGCAAGTAGTCCCGCATTCTGGAATTAATCGGAAAAACATCCATCAGAGTAGCCGATTGCAAGAATGGCTTGCCAGACAGTGCAGTAATAGAGCTGGACCCACCCACCTATCCGCCTTCCTCGTCCTTCTCCTCCCTCATCCCTTAAATAGACTCGCATATGAACTGCACCACTAGTCTAGACCAGACGGGAGCTTACACTACGGCCATGGGGCGGAGCCTGCTTGACGTCGCCCTCGCCGCAAGCGGACGTGGAAGGCGGCACCGGATCCTGCCTTCCCGGGGACAAACCGCACTTCGCTCGCTTTCCAGACCAATTACCACAATAACAGTGGATGCGCTTAGAAAGAAGAAATGAGTAATTAAAATGCACTATTATAGAAGCAAAATGAATTCGCTATTGTGCATGGCTGCGTGTGAATGCTAGAACGTTTGAGATGAGACGAAATGACTGCGGAGAAGTCAATGAAAGCGCGATTGCCTGTGCCTCTGCTTAGGCTTCGAGATGAACTGCACGGCGGACGAGTTCCAGTGCGACAACGGCTTGTGCGTGCGGCGGTCGTGGCGCTGCGACGGCGAGAACGACTGCAAGGACTACTCCGACGAGCAGAACTGCACGCGCAAGATGTGAGTAGCCGGCGGCGAGCTGCGCCGTGTTTTCCCCACCTCCCCATCCCTTCCCCCAACCAGCCTTCCAGCCTCCTTGCCATCGCCTCCCTCCGTTCGTCCCCTCTTCGTTCGGGCCATTCCTCCGCCCCCGCACTTCCTTCGCCCCTCGTCGCTGGGCTCCCTCCGTGCCCGCCCCAATTGCCGCTCCCGAAAACTCGGCCCCCGCACGTCACACTTCCCCTCACCCCTCCAATCCTCACTGCCCATGCCTCTGCTCCCTTCCCACTATTCCCACACTTCTTGACGTGCAATCTTATCACCTTCTCCTTTACAGAATTTCGGCTGAAAATGTTAGTGTTTGCGTAGGGCTGCAAGTGATTCTGGAAGAATTTCTTGTTTGTTATTTTTTGTGTTCAGTAAACGTGTACTACATCTAATTTTAATAATCATGTCCTTTATGACATCTTTCAGTGTAGTCATAAATATAAGTGATATAGCGAACTCTCATTCGTGTCGTAATAATTGTTAATATTTAAGGGGAGTAGATTTTAGTGAAGTAAATATTTTAAAGCGATTAGAGTATTTCGATTTAATTTGTTGAAAACAGGTGTTCTAAATAAAAGAAAAAAATACTCGAAACGTTTTTAAATGTTTTCTGGACACTTCTTATGTGAGAGTCACAAAGCTTTCAGACGAAATAGTTCTATTTTCAAATTCACATTATGTAATATATTAATGCTGTATCGTGCAAGAAATACTTTACTTATACTTTCCGTAATTTTTAACAATTGAAAGATTTCTCACAAGAACCTAACTAGTCTAAATTTGATATTTTTAAGGAGACACCAAAAACTTCATAGCGTAGATGTGCATAGGAATGAATTTATGATTTTCCCCAGCTTTATATCTTTCAATGTGTTAAGCACTTGCCGATAAGAAACGTTCCAGCAGAGACTGCCAGTTGTATAGAATAACGGTGAAATATCTCAAAATATGGAAATTTGATCTTGTTAGGTTGTTGCATGAAACCCCAGTATCAATTGACCAATAATACGAATGAATCGTATGAATAAATAATGCTGCTGTAAAGGGAAGAACCAAAACGAAAGTCTTGATACTTCTGGTTTACTCGTCTACTATCGACAGAACGTAGGTGTCCATTTGTCTTTAATTTCGGATACAATCGGCATCGACGAAAGGTTGTGGCGATTGGAATCTGCCTTAGCAACGCCACCGAGAAACTTTCTCGTATTTTATTCTCGATAGTGTGTGTGACCCGTTTCACTCACATAGTCTCCATTTGGAATTTAATCGAATTTAAACCTCGGTGTTGCTCAAGAAAATTAAGTTTTCTGCCTCATGAAGCTCAGACCAGCGTAAGGTATGCCGCTGGTGCGAGCTTTGCTACATGAATGGATTTGCATCTTCGAAACAAATTCATTAATTCGCAGCGTTTGCTAGTAAACGTTCGCTATTTTTTTATTTCTGTGTTATTCAGGTGAATGGTAAAATTAATTATTTGAGCATAAAGATAAAATGACGTTTAATAACATTATTAATATTGTTATTATTAATACTCTAAATTCACTACAAAATATATTAAGTTAGGTTAAATATAAAATATACTGCTGGTTGCAACTAACGTCCTTGTAATACAGGGAGTATAATTATCTCTTCAATACCTATAAGCAAAATATATTTTGTTCCAAATAAAGCGATTTCTGGCACTTCCAAACCTCTTGGATGACCTGGAAGTAGGGATAAGTTCTGACGTAAAGTTTGGGAACACGTCCCAAAGCTTTAATAACTATCGGTTTGACCTGTATTTTTACACCCTGCATCCGGCACCATCTCAATTTCCAAACTTCTGTTTAAGACATTTCCATGCCTCCTTGGTTACGACAATCTGATCGTACGGTAACATCTACAAGTAGACACGATTTGTCCTCCAAATTCCGAATAAAAACATCCCATTTGTTTGCTGCTACCGTTCGATCAGTTTGGATTTGTTATTATTGTACACAACCCAACCAAAGTAAAATAAGAGTTGATAGAATGTCCGCGAAATGGTTTGTCTCTCTTCGATTTCTTCAACACTTTTTGTTTCATATATTTTGTTAATTGTCAAATAGTATCAGAAGACCCATGCCAGTGTTTTCGGTGTGTCTATCACAGTTGTTCTTTCAATGTCTCTAACTACACTTAAAATGCTTCTATTCCCACTCCTGCGTTCAGATGTAACAACAATCCTTATAGACATATTTAAGACTGATCATATGAGTTCCCCTTTCGACAATCCTCTCTGCGTTCATTATATAATACGCTAATAATAGCTGTTTTTGACAATTTCTAAGAAGCTATCTACACAAAACTCTCGTTGTTCTACTACAGTACGTATATCGAATTATTTCCCAGTCCTTCATCATTCAAATTTTAGAAGAAATATGTTTGCAAATCATGACGTAAGGGACAAATTACTGTGACGCACATTAAAATTGCTCATAACTCGGACATGATGCGCCCTAGACCCTTAAAAGAAGATTTTTGTTTCCAGAAGGACCACGGGCTTTGAGGGGACAATTCGTTTGGGGGCACAGGTGGGAACATGCGGGGAAGCGCCGGGGAAATGGTGGGGAACATGTGGGAGATAGGTGAGGTCCGATTTATAGTTCTTAAGCAGTATTCCACATAATAAGACCTTCTTGAACGTTTTGTAACGTTTTTGAAGTTTTAGCTCTTCTGATGACCCTTTCGCCGTCACATGGAGCAAATCTTTTATTATATTCCACGATACAATTGTGCCTACTGCTTTCAGTAAAATTTAATCTCAATGCTAAACAATATAACGATGCTTATTCATGCGCAGAACGGGTCAGAACATTTGTTATTATATTGTGTATTATTTTTGTCGTGTACTTGTATATGGTAATATACTATATTATTTAAATTATTATATAATTCCAACATAATTAAATATTTGTATCAATTTTTCCAAATAAAGTCGAGTAACAACTACAACCTAAGATCTTTTGCGAGGGGGCGAGATTCTCCCTGCCCCCCTCCGGATGCGCCACCGCGGCTGGATGATGATGTCATCTCCAATTCATGGACTTGCTGTCCAAGTCAGGATCCAGTATGCGGCTAGGTTTCACCTTTAAGGCAAGCAAGAACCATCTAGCTGCAACACAGCTCCAGCTAGTAGAACCCGACAAAACCCAGCAAGTGAGCTCCTGCAGAAGAGGAATCCCCCTTTTTGTATCAAAAAGATTTAGGACGAAAACTAGTTATTTATGCACCAAGGTGTTAGAAGGCTTCTAATAAACGAGCGGCGTCAAAATGGCGTCAGGCCAAAGGCCTCAAGCATTTCGACGCCGCTCCATCATTAAAACCAGTTAACGCCCGTAGTACATACATAATTTTATTTTTTACCTAATTTTATTGATTCATATTTCCTTATTTCCTAATTTACTAGAAGTGAACTTGACTCGGTTTGTCTTTTCATATTTCTCTCCCATAATTCTCTTCTATAAGAGAACATGTAGCATCCTTCAACTGTATTCATTTTTCCCTCGTCACCACGCTCCTCTCCATCCAAGGAAGCCTTGCGCTGGACATGGAAGTGCGTATCGAAGGCAGTAACAAGCTATCAACCCGCCCCGCGCGTGCGTTGAGGCGAGTGCACTCGCAGCGATTCCGATGAAGCAGCATCGGACTGATTGGCGCAAGCTCCGAAGGTGCTGAACGCGCGGCCGACACCACAGCGCCTCTGCTCGGGACGTCTCAGGGTTCGTGACCCGACGGTGGCAGGTTTTGACCATTGGCTGCAGAGCCTGGACAAAAATTCCATACTTTCTGCCCCTTCCGTCTGCCTCTTCCTTACACACACTTACACGTCCATGCACTACACTACCACACAAGTCAGGAGACCGGTCGAGAGCTCAGAGCTCAGAGCTCGTCCGGCTGGGACGGTGCCTCGCCGGTGGGAGGTATCTGGTTGTGGAACACCCGGAAGCCCACGGAGGTCGGGGCTGGGTCTCTCCGAACGTCGGGAGAAGATCATTACTACCTCCCGAGAAAAATTATCCACTATACTTACGGGAATAACGACCTTAGCAGTCGTCCAGGTCAGAGTTATTAATTTATCAATCAATCAAAATCCAAGGACCCGGAAACGGTTACTGGGGAACCGCGTCTCAGGGGTGCTAAGATGTGTGGATGCCAAAGAAAGATCGATTTGCAGGAGGCAGTGCTTGCGACTGTTCTTACCTGAAACTGCAAGTTTTGAATCCCATGTCGTGTGACAGAAGGCAAACCTCATGTAATACAATCAATCATTAAAAACAATATTTACTATGCGGCAAATATGTTGTATACGTTCAGGAACCAGATAACCTATAGATGTGACTGACGGCTCATTTGCAAATTTGGTGAGTGACACAATCTTTAAAATGTGGCTCATTATCCATTATTTTTATTTATTAGTATTGAGAGAGATGTCTTCAGAAAGTCGTTTGATGTGAATAAACCAGTTCCATAATACGTTAATGCATATTATTTACGAAGTGAATATTTTTCCACAGAAACTTTCTGGGTCGCTGATAAGAAAAATATCGATATTTCTTTTTTCCTATATGTAGAAAAAAACTTCCTCTGATATGTTGTGTCATCACAATCCTTGTGTCCTTGATACCACAAAACTGGTTTACGGGAAAACATTTTTTCGTCCATCAGTCCGTTCGTCAGTCTGTCCACATGGCTGTGAACAAACTAGCAGCTAAACAGAAGACGGTTTTAATCAAAATTGATATTTCCCCGCGGCCCTTTTGAATTTGAAATAGATATTTTGATTTTGGACGATACTTTGCTTGAATCGTTAACCACTTTTTCAAAATGTTCTCAATAGTAGCTCTAAATGTTTGAATGAAATTGTTTTCTTGAATAGAGCAACGTAATGAACGGTAGTTTCGTATACCTCCATAAGATGATATATTATAAATTCTATTATATAGGAGCAATAT